AGAAATAGGATTCAGTAGTCTCTGACTAGCAACCAGTTGTCATGGTGACCGATAGTTAGGGAACTAATTGACAAGGGTGAATTGTCAGGTCCAGTTCTTACCAGCAGTAAGTTAAATGCTGCTTGACAAATGGATCACCTTTTTGAACAGCCAGTCTGTTTCTTTGTCTGGCCTTGGGCAAGGGCAATCTTTTATTTTAATTCAAATTTCTGAAAGTGGACTTCATACTGTTATGAAGTTAGAAACCAAGGTAGATACAATAAAAAGATAAGGTGTGTTTGTGAAGCCGTCGTAATATTATTTTATTAAAGGTTATGCAAAACCTTCCGGGAGCAGCTTGCAAGCTGGGATGTTTGTGTTGTTTTTGGCATGGTAACAACCTTACGCTTACATCCAGACTAAACAATGCACAACTTAATTAAAAAAAATAGGTTTTCAACTTGATGACCTAGTTCTCCGCCTCCTACTGACCTCAACAGATAAATACACAGGGAAGCTATTTACAAAAGACTGAAAAAGAAATGTAAATTCCCGTTAAAATGTTCTCTAGGGGAATGATTAGTTGGTAGTTGAAAGTCACGTACTATTACAGTTATTTTTATGTGCAGGTGTGATAGTTAACAAGGTGGGGTATATTCATGAGAAACTTTTTCAGCACAAGGAGTCTCTTGTTCCATTTTCCTTGGAGGTGATTAATTTTACATATGAAGCGATATCTTAGTGTTTTGCAATAAGACAGTACTGGAAACCCCATAGATTTTGGGCCAAAGTAAAACTATAAGGTAATTGATTCATGTGTGGAAAATACATATTGTATATTGTTTCTGATGCTTTTAGGTTTACTACTATGATCTGTATATGCAGTAATTAGGTTATGGAAAAGTTATGGTAATGAAAGTAGAACTAGACTATAAGAATATGTGTGTGGCAGTGAGATTCTAGGGGATAGTCAGGAGGAATTTGGAAAACTAGGTCTTGCTGCTTAACAAGTTTTTTTTTTGAGCAGAGAATAGCATTATAAAACTCCTACATAGATAGTGTTATAAAACTCCTCTAGAATAAGATTAATTCTAAAATTGAATGTAGTAGGCATACGAGTAAATGTATTTATTATAAGATACTGGCTAATGCATAGAAGGGAGAGTTTATAGATAAGAGATGAATGCTTAAATTAATTATGAAATTGGAGTACCATAGGGAACTATAGTAGGTTATATAGTATAGTTAGCAAACTAGTTATGTTTGCAGATGATACTAAAAAAGGGAGATTAGAAAAACATTGTAGAAGCTGCAAAATAAATTAAAATAGAATTCAAGACTGGGAAAACTGGCAGGTGACATTTAATTTAATGTAGACAAGTACTGAACATTTTATGTAGGCAGCAAAACCATAACACATACATGTGTCAGACAATGTGTGAAAGGGATTTTAAAAGCCAAAGAGAACTGTAAAATATATACAGTAGTGCAATAGAGTAGAATTTAACTGAAGGGGTATTACATTAAAAGTGTGCTATGTACCAGTATGATCTTACTTAGGGCATTGTATGAAGTTTTTTCCTTGTCAATTAAGAGAATGACAATGAGGTACATCCCCAGGCTTACAGGGAGTGTCCTAATCTTATAGCCTAAAAAGTAACTAAATAATTATATAAATAATTATTACAGGCCATAAAACCAAATTGTCTTTATCTTAAACAAAGATTTTATAAGGGGACCAGTTTCAAGTATTTGGAATCCTTTGAAGGCATTAACAAAGCTTATACTGTACATAAACCTATTTAGAAATGTGTACCCGAGGACACATATGGAAACTGATAGGAGGCATTTCCCAATCTGTGAACAAGAGTTGTTTATTCTTACAAAGGATTGTGGGAGTCTAGAACAAGCTACCCAGCCAGATATTGAAAGGAAATACCTTTTTTTTTTCAAGAAATCTTCAGATCAGTTTTCTAAAACATAAATAAAATAGATGGGCTGAATTACTATTTTTCTTCCATACGCTTTCTTAAGGTGGTGAGAATACCTAAATAAACAGTCCTGGATTCAGTTTATTTAGAAATAATAATATTATTTAACATTTTATCCCACTAAAGACTTACAATAATATTAGTTTGGCATATTTCCACACAAAATGGGGTTTGGTTTCCCAGTATTCTACTCTATACTTGGATTCTGGCAGAAGATTTTTTTGTGGGTTGAATAGTGAAAAAACAAAAAAAAATAACCAGTGCAAAAAGTTTTAGACGTGACTGGACATTCAATGTGCTCTACTATTTCAATTTAGGTATGAAAGAGTACGTTTTTAATTTAATTTCTACATATATAAATAAATCAAAATACAAGGATTAGAAATAATGTTTTATGCAAGTTCTATCGTATGTTAAGACAATCTTGTTTTGTAAATATCCAAACAGATATAATGATAAGAAAGTTACTCAGTGGTGCAATCAAATTCTAACTAGCCTACTTGAAATGTTAATTTATTGGCTCTAAGGTATTGTAAGTTCATTTCTAATAAGCATTTAACAAGCATTTGGTTCCTCTAAGCAAAATATGTTGAGAGACTATCATCAATAAATTACAAATCATTATCACATTGATAATGAACCATTTTTACTGTGCAAAATGAAAACAAAGTCTTCCATCTGTCTTGCATCTACTGAGCAAACACCACTTTTTAAAGGTACAATTGTTTATGCTGGGGCAGTAAAAGTAGGTTCATATGTTGTGCAGTTTTTTGCTGTACAATTATCAGCAATCCTGGTATGTGGGACTAGACTCCATTTCTGGCACAATATCCAGAAAAAAATATAATACCATGAAGCAGATTTAATGAGACATTTTTTAGAATCAGTTGAAGACAGTTCACATGTACAGTATAGTACTTATTATCTGTGCATCATAACTGTGATATTGCCTGCCCACCCACTGGACATGAACTCTGTTGAGTACAGTATATACTATATATATAGTATATACCTCCTAATAATCCCCCTCTATGAATTGGCTTCATCACTCTGCTCTCCTCCCCACTGAGAGCTGGTGTGTGGGGAGCGTTCTGGCGCACTATGGCTGCCGTCGCATCATCCAGGTGGGGCTGCACACTGGTGGTGGTTGAGGGGAGACCCCATTACCTGTAAAATGCTTTGAGTGGAGTGTCCAGAAAAGCACCATATACTGTAAGTGTAAGCAATTATTATTAATTATTATTATTATATACAGGCAATCCTCAGTTTATTCCTGTGAAAATCATGACAAAAGTGAGTCTCCAGCACCTCTTGTGCCAAGTATGGACTGTCTTTCAACAGTATGTGTAAATCTGCTACTCCGTATTGTGTGTCATGTTATATTATTAATTTGTAATAATTGTTGTTATGTATTATGTATTTTTCCTCTGATGCTTTTGTCAGAAAAAGTAACTTGCTAAGGTGTATAACAACAGTATCTCACTTGAAACGTGAGTGCATAACCTTGCAGCTATGACTCCAGAACCTTAACCACTACACAATATAATCTTTCTTTTGATTGCAATCATGTAACAGATGAGACTGTCTATAGAAAAGGTAGCAATTTTTAGTCGCCAGTAAATTATCTTAATTATCTGTGAGGCTTATTATTGACTTATTATTAGTTCACAACTTTGACACCTTGGATTTTTTTGGGGTATATTAACTGTTGCCACTGGTAACTACTATAACCACAAGCAAAATGTTCTTGGTGGTAAGAGTTGGTTCCTTATGAACAGAGAGAACAGAAAATGTGCTACATAGACATACTGTAATATTCTCTGCTTCTGTGTTCTGTTTAAGGCTCTCACTCCCAGGAAATACTTAAAAAATCATATCTTTTGAAATTATTTTAATGCCTAAATATTTAATAATAGTTTTCAGTTTATTATTACTGTTATGTATGAATCCCATCTTAATTGAAAAATTGACCAGGACACAATCCCTGCGATTTAATTGTGCTCTGACCTTCATCAAATACACACTGACACACTTTAGGCTCATTAGGAGCTCAGTTACTGAAGAGGTTGTCATTTTTGGGGTTCCTACTACCTTGTCTCTCTAGCCAGGTTGTTGATCCCTCCGTCAGTTGAGTTAAGTCAGCAATGCCACCAAATTTCAAATTATGCCTCTACTCTGCTTTAATTAGGTGTCGGGCTGAACTAATAAAACAGATTTTTAAACAAAAGTCTGGGACAAGGTCAAAACCCTAATGATGCTTACTTCTTCTCTCCTGCATATAAATATGATATCTCTAGAGAACTCACACATCATCATTCGTAACCCTCCCTCCACCCCATATTCCTCCTTGTAGCAGCTCCCTGGCTCATTCCTCAGACTGAAGGGGGGTTCCAATCACCACATGGACTTTTTCAGGTCAAATTGTTCATTTGAATATAACTAGGAACATCAGAGCAAAAACAATATATACTGTGTGCAAGAAACATTGCAAGATATTCAATAGGTTTCCTGCAACCCTCCCCAGACCCTCCTACAATCACACCTGCCAGTCTTTCATGTACTCGAGTTGCAGCTTCACTCCATGTCTTCAGAGTGGCATAACTGGCCTTATTTACTCTGGCGGTAGACAGTTTCAGCATCACTATGTATCTGAATTATCACAACCATTGCCGTATCGGTGGGCTATGAGGGGGGAGCCAGGGCTGTGCTATCAGTTTCTTTGCTCCAGTCAAGCCAGCGAGCTACTGTAGATTTTCCATTGACTTAACTTTTTGTTGAAGTTGTGAGTCCCCGTTAAGTAGTAACACAGTTGGATCCATTGGCATGTTTCTCCCTTGTGAGGGTACAGCTTTTGTGTGGCATGTTTTTATAATGGTTGGCTTATGAATCCTTTTCATTTGATGTAACATATTAATTATAGTTATTATTAACAAACCCTTTTGGTATTTTTCTTTCAGCAAAGATTTAGTTAGTCAGGATTTGTATGATTTTAATCATGCTTCTGATTGTTTTCTCCTTGTTTTCCAACAGCTGCGGATGGCGAGGAGCCTACTTCTGCAGGTAGGATATTTCTTACCCCAGAATGTGTTTTGATTCCTTAATTTTTTTTCCTATTCTTTTTTACTTTATTTGTATTACTGACCCTCATACCTTACTTGTGAGTTTCACATCCACTAACCACTTGTCTAATAATAATCTTGTAGTATATGCTGTTTATTTCCATGTGGGCTATATTTTATTTGTGTAAAAATGTCTAATTGAGTATTTTTTTTTTTGTTGTTTAACAAATATTACTACCAGGTTAATTCCATACCGATGCCTCAGTGATACAATACATTAATTATAAATACAGTACATTGATGAAATTGGAAACAAACAGAAAAGATGAATTTGTAGTTTTTCTGAGGGGGGAAGTGTTGCAGGAAATTGGCAAAGTCATTTACATTTCAGAGTATTTTCACATGTTCATGTACTAAGAAGAAAATAAAAAAAAAATATAAAACAACTGGAGATTTAAGCCAAGCGAAACATGTAATTGGATGCCTTTGTGCACAGATTTCATAGCATGAACCACTGTTTTGTTTTTTTTTTTAAATAGAATTACAGAATTGCACATCTTTTGGAAATGTTACACATTTTCTGCACAGCCAGGGTAAAAACAGATGAAGGGAAACTATAACAAATTGAGAGCTATGAATCAAGTGAGATGGAAATAGCAAAAACACAACAAAAGTAAAACATACAGTATTTTATCCTTTGATCTCCCTCAAATTCTGACATGCTCCTGCAACTGAAGAGTAAGAAATCATGTTGCAGGACTGGAGCCAAACCACTGTTATGGAGATGTATAGGTTGTTTGTTCAGTGTCACTCAGTTTTGTGTTGGATATAATCTGATACCAGACTGGAAAATCCTGGTCACCACATGATAGGCTTGATTGATTGCTAAGTGTCTCTGCAGTCTGCTTGCCCGAACACATTTTCTTTTATCACAGATTCAGGCTTAATAAGAAGCTCAATAAAATTCTTGGATTTCTCTCTCTCTGCGAGAGAAGCCCCAGTAGATACAGACAAAAAATTGCATAAAACAAAGATAGGAGGAACTGGCTAACCCAGACTCAGCACTGTTGTTTTTGTTATGCATAATATTTCACTTCATAATATTCAGACTGCTTCTTCTATCATATTGCAGTCTTGCTTTGCACCTTAAAACTGATCAGAATTTAAGATCATTACATTAATTGTTCCACAGTTTAGAAAAACATAAGGGTCTAAAAAGACTTATAGTGCCACTTTGCTGCCACTTAGCATATATAAAGTCAACATTAGCAACCACTACCCTGGCTGCTTCACCCTTAGAAATAACAGAAAACTAATTACCATTATTATATAGTTTGCCAAATGAAAGAAACTGGAAAAGAATGTTTTAAGAGTCTTTTATAGTCTCCATTTTCTTCTGTACTATAGGGATTGGTGTGATAGAATGAGCATTCATCTCATCATTGCAAGATCTTAAGTACAGTATGTGACTGTTGCACAGCAGACACAGGTCTGGACTTAATCAAAACTTTTGTTTGCCTGCCAGGTGTCTGTCAAGAATTGTAGCTTTTCCTTAAGTAGAAGGGAAAGGTTTCTTGTTAATTAAAAGAAAACACCATGAAGAGCTGGTTTGAAAATTTGTGATTGTTTAATGGGTCTTAGGTAAAGTGGATTTACTATAGCTGGCTGTGCTTATTGTGTATAAAACCCAACCTCTTTGATTAAGCAGGGCACCTACCTGTAAAAGTGCAGAGTAATCAAATTTTATAATGCATCTAAGGTATACAATGCTGTATAAGCTTATATAATGTAATCTGAGGTTGGGGAAGTGAGCTTCACCCATCCCCCAAAGGATGGGACCACAACCCAACACTCTTGCCCAACATCTGTGAAAAAAGAGTGTGCCAATGCATAACAAATAAAAATAACAAACGAAAAGAGAAGGGTAGACAAACAGGAGCTGGGGCATGAAAACCTCTGGTGCCAATTTAGGGGAAAACCTCTGGTGGTCCTGGTAGAACAGACACCCCCACTCTGGGCAAATCTAAGGGAGCATAATGAACACAAAGGTTATTTGCAGGAATGGAACAGCTTCTGAAGGTTTAATTAGATAGAGGTCCATCCAATTTTGCCCTGGCTCCAATTCAAAAGGAGTGGAGTGTCCACTAAAAGCGGCTGTATGGACATTGGATGAACAGAGCAGTAAGTAATATGTGTCAATTGTGCATGGGCTGCTGGCACATTGTTTCGTACATTGTAACACAGGTTAGAGGTTCAGTGTCAGCTGCATAAGAGAAAATGGTGATTCTGGAGCTGGAAGAAAAGAGAGAGTTGCTGAGGGTATCAGATTGTGGAATTTGCAAGTCTGCAGATATCTGCGAATATTGCAGATAAAAGAGCAATAGCTGCTGGATTAGAGACTCCTGAGAGGTATCAAGCCATAATAAAGAAGTTATTACTTGTTGTTAACTGAAATAGATAGATACATGCTGTTATTAATCCCGTGAGGGAAATTGCAGTGCAACAGCAGCCAGTCACAGTCAACACAGCACAGTGTAACGAAATGATACAATAATACAACAATACAATACAGTAAGTACAGTCAGTGAGAACTGCAGTAAAAAATGGAGTATGCAGAATTGCACACAGTACAGAAGATACAAAACAAAACCAGAAGGTACAGTACACAAGAAGATGTTACAGATATGAGCACTGTGAGTGCTAAATATACGGAGGAAGAGGTCAGTATCAAGAGAAGATCAGTCCCCTGTATAATTGTCCACAGCAAGAACAGTAGCTGCTTTGGCTGAGGAAGCTTTGTAATATCTGTCGAGAATAGAAACACTATAACAAATTGAGAGGTCTGCTATGTAGTAGATGAAATGATCCAATTCCCAATGCCTGTGAGGACAGACAGAACAAAACACACCTCTGTAAACAGAAAAGGCAGAGAATAGAAGTCTTAATTTTGAGAGTGAAAGCAAGGTCACTGAAGTCCACTACGTTGTGGTCAACAATTTCTGAAGTAGCTGGGGGAAGGGGCGAGATTTACCTCTTTACCTTCAATAATGTGGTGGTGCAAAGGAGGAGCAAGGGGGTGGTGGTGAATGGTGGGGCTTGGTGTGAACGTGAAACTACTGCAGTGCTGAGGGTCAAGGGGTGGGACAGATGTGGAGATAGAGGTGGGGGAAGGACTTTCCAGTTTATCCCAGTGGGGAATGAGGTCATTGAGAGCGAATGAGTAGCTTGAGAATCTGAGTAATTGTTCAGAAGCCTAGAAGGGAAGTCCGGCAGCTCTGAGACAAGAGGGGTAGAGGGAACACCTGCTTTGCTGAAGGTATAGAATAAATAGGTTGAGGTTGAGGAGTTTGAGGAGCTGGTAGCTGATGAATGGAGGGAAGGGGACAGGACTGGGTCTGCTAAAGGGAGTCACAGAGTAGAAAATAAGAGGCCAGAGCGATCGCTTTGAGTAAGAGTGGGAATAGATTTCAAAAAGGAGATTTCAGGAATTGGTAAGAGGCACGTCTTTTTGTAATGAAGTCAAGCTGGCATATCCTGGAAAGTGAGGTGCAGCTTGAGATGGCATAAGCCTGGCACGGGCTGTGTAGGAGAAGCTGGGAAAGAGGTGTTGTTGGCAGGAGGCAGTGAAGGAATAAAAGAAATTAATTAAAGGGCTTGCTTGGAGCACATCAGCTGGAAAAAAGCAGGAGGAAATATCTTTCTCATCTTTGGGGAAACGGAAGAAAGTTTGGTAGGTAAGCCATAGTAGTCTAGTGAGAGATAAACCAAAGACTTTAGATAAACAGTAAGCACTTGAGAGCTTGAGGTTTAAATACAGAATAGGCAATTGAATAACTGAGAAAGCAGAGGAGCAGCTGCTTCTCACCTCAAGCCTTCACCTGGCGGTTAGCAAAAAATATTTTGCTAATAGCTAAACTGAGAGAATATTTTACAGTCTCCTATGACAGGATCAAGGAATCAAATGGTATTGCAAATGGAATTATTAAAATGTTTAAATTGTAGAAAGAGAAAATAAAAGATTCCAACAAAAATCACATGTATAATGTGTTTCATTATCTGTATAGACTTAAATCCATCCATTTTCTAACCACTTTATCCAATACAAGACTGCGGGGATGCTAGTGCCTTTCAGCACGCAACAGGTGCAAGGTGGGATACACACTAAACGGGACACCGATCCATCGCACTCACATCAACACGTTAAAAGAGGTTAGCTGGAATGATTCTTTTGTGGGCTTGATTTATCAATACCCTGATTAACCATCACGCTAAAGTAACTTGTGCACCATCTGGCACAAGACTGTCAGATGTCCTGTGTGCAGCTTTTCCACCATGACCGGTGCACTGCGCCAGTTCCATACCATAGTGGATACACCACAGAGGCTGCTGTCAGGTCAACATTCTCTTGGAAACAAACCAATCCCTACTTCACGAGGAATGCCAAACACTCAAGAATAAAGCATCATGGAGCGAAACTGTGGCTTAACCCGCTTGGCTGAGGGCTGGCCTTCCGGTCAGAGGACAAGGAGACCAGGACCCCCCTGCAGGGTGACTGAGGGGCAGCTGCAGAGGGAAAGATGGGGTGGAGATGGGATGCAAGACATGTGCAAGAGAGAGAGATAGGGATCTCGAAGGTATTTATAGCATTTGGGAGAGGATTGTCAGAAGTGATTGCTAATTACTGACAGCTGAGTCCAATTTAGCTTGGTTGTCATCCCTCCTGAACTTTTGTTATAAACTCCATAAAAACATCAGAAAGCTCCAACATAATTGTATTTGTTTTTTTTTTCTTTGGTGAAACCATTGAGGGTCGTTGTTTAATATGGTTCACTTTTAGGATAGGAGGTGGTTTAGTTTCCAAAATATTAAAATTCAATGTAATCAAAACGTGCTTATAACCGCACTTCATCTCATAACAGTGAGCTGGTATCACTATATCCTGTAGGTCTATGTCAGGGGTCTCAAACTCAAGTGAATATGGGGGTCGCATTCATACTTACT